AAACCTCAGTTTGTCATTACTTTTGCTTTTTTGTTCGAAAACAATCAAACTGACTTTGAATATGAAAGACAGAAAATCTGTCTGATTTGTAAAACATGAATTCATTAAACRTGGAATAAAATAACCAATAATTTAATGTGATCCAATCAGCACTGCTCAGATTTATTTGCCCCTCAGCTAAAACCCCTCCCAAAGAAAACACATTTACTGWCGACGTCTGTGAGACTGAGATCGTTCACACAGAACTGTAACTCCMACACTTGGACCTGACTTGAATCTGCCGACCTGCGTGAGTTTAGTGGAACTTCCTCCATCGATGAACATGCAGCGCAGATCGATGGACTCCGTGGGGTACGCCTCCAGCTCCTCCTCCACCCGCACTTTCTGAGCCCCCACACCTGGAATTAAAACAAAGAGGCATCGATCAGTCTTCTGAGCGGCTTTAAGGCAAAACAAAAAGAAGACTTGMAGGAAAACTTGTTAAAAATCCAAACAAATTGGCTGCAGCTGATGGTTTTGTCCTAATTATTTGGATTCAGCCTTTGTGTTGCATCCTGAAAGTATTTGTGAAACAAAACATTCATTACAGAAGCAGAATAAGAGTCTGATAAYGAGCCTCAGGCAGATTCTGCTTTTAAGAAACAGATCTGATGCTGGGGGGCCGAGCCAACACAGGGGGTCATCCAGGAGAACGAACATGAAGCACTGCCCTCAGCAGTCAGAATTAAACTCATGAAAGTTTTGAGTCAAAGAGTCTGTGCAGAACCTGCTGACCCCCCACCCCCACTGCAGAACACAATTTCTTTTCAACAAGCGCAGCAGCTTTTCCTAAAATCCATCTCTGTCTGTCATGAAGTCGGCCAGAAGCTGCAACGTTTTCTTTAAAACATACATTTTCTTTTTCAGGTTTCAGGTCAAAGAAAGTGTCGCCGTGCTGCTGTGATTTTTCACTTCTTTCACAAAAATAACAGCTTTTTTYCCCCTTTGCATCAACTCCACTGAAACCCTGAGCTTTCAACAAACCCTGCACTACAGCAAGCTCCTCTCCAGCTGTTTCAACATTAAGACTAAGATTTATTCATGAATTGTTGCACAAAAAGTGGATTAATAAKCATCTAAAAGCAGCTGAATTAATTGCTTCTGGTTTAAAATTAGAGCGAGCTTTAGAAAGTACAAGCATAAAACCCAACTCACACGAGCTGTTTGTGTTTCAAGATTAATGAACTCGTAAAGCTTCAGATGAAGAAAAAGAAGCTCAAACTGACAAAAGAACAAACTACAGAGCCTGTAACAGGACAAGGGAAAAAATAAAATGATCCTGACTCACTTTAGCAAGATCCTGCAACGTTTTTACAGGATCCAAGAAGGATTCTCCTGAGAAACCTTTGCAGGATCACAAGAAACCTTTGCAGGATCACAAGAAACCTTTGCAGGATCTTGAGAAACCTTTGCAGGATCTTGAGAAACCTTTGCAGGATCACAAGAAACCTTTGCAGGATCTTGAGAAACCTTTGCAGGATCTTGAGAAACC